CCTGAACTCCTGACCTCAGAGGATCCACCCGCCTCAGCCTCCCAAAGTGCTGGGATTACAATAAGTTCTATTTAATTTTCTAAAGGTATCTACATTTGTTATTTTGACTAAAACATAAAATATTGCCCCCACCATAATTAGAGACCACTCAATGGTACCACAGCTAATCTGACATGAGATTAAATAAAACTTTGGTGACTAGCTAAAAATAAGATTATCCTAGATTATCCAAATAGGCCCAATACAACCAACAAGGTCCTTAAAAGGGGAAGAGGGAAGGAAAAGAACGATGTAGAAAGACTCACTCACTGGACATTGCTGGCTCTGAAGATGGTAGAGGGACATAAGCCAAAGAATATGGGCAGCCTCTAAAAGTTGGAAAAGGAAAAAATAAATTCTCCTCTAGAGCCTCCAGAAAGGAATGCAGTCCTGCTAACATCTTGATTTTAGTCCACTGAGGCCTATTTTAGACTTCTGGCCTCCACAACTGTAGCACAATAAATTTGCATTGTTTTAAGGCATTAATTTGTGATAATATGGTTCATCAACAAGAAGAAACTACTATAGTCTAGAATAAGATTAGTATTTATTCAGTATTATTAAAGAAAAATCATGCCTTGCCAAGTTGGATGCAAATACTCCAAACCTCTTATTTGGTAGTAGACACAGGTGTTGGAATGTCATTGTCTGAAAACACTATATACGTATATTAGTTACCTGTGGATGCTGTAACAAATTACCACAAACTGAATGGCTTCAAATAGAAATTTATTCTCTCACAAGTTCTGGAGGCCTGAAATCCTAAATTATGTTGTTGGCAACGTGGCATGCTTGCTGGAGACTCTAAGGAAGAATCCACTGCTTGCCTCCTCCACTTTCTGGTGACTGATGGCATGCTTTGGAAACAACACTCCAATCTCTGCCCCCTTCTAAACATCACTTTCTCTCTCCTCTATATGTTTCTCTTCCTATTCTGTTTCGAATTTCTTTCCACCTCTTACCTACAGGACCCCTGTGATTGGATTTAGGTGCCATCCAGGCAATCCAGGATTCTCTCCCCTTCCCTCGTTAACTTTTTAGATGCTTCTTGAGCGCCTCACCTCTGGAAATTCTTAACTTAATCAAATGTTACAGTCACAGGTTCCGGTGATTAGGATATGGACATACTGTATTGTTTTGGAAGCCACCATTCAACTTTCTACAGCTTATATCCATCAATACATTCAGTCAACAAACATTTACTGAGGCCCCTTGCACCCAGCTCTGAAATGGGTAAACACTGAAGACATATGAAAAATCTGTCCTGAAGGAGTTCATAATCAAGTAATAAAGACAGATGAGGGCCGAGCAGAGAGAGCTTTAAAAGGAGCACATGTAAGGAGCAACTAACCCAAACAAGAAAAAGAAGTCCCTTTTAGGCTTCGCTTCCAAAAATACTATCAAAACTCTGAGGTCCAGGCATCAACAAAACCAGCCATAAAGTACAACTTTCACTTAATATCACACTTAACCTGTTAACAATATGCTAACACAATAAGGATTCTAGTTAATTAACTAACGACCTACCATTTGGGAAGAGAGCTGATATATAAGTGAAAGAACTTCTCAAAAAAAAAAAAATTTAAGAAAAAATATAAAGGAAGAAGAAAAGCAGAAGAAAACTTAAATAGCAGCAGGAAAAAATATTGAGCAATGAGGAAGGGGAAAGTAGAGCAAACTACAATGTTCTTTACCAGGGCAGTAATATACCATGACTAAGAGTTCCTTACATTCTTTAATGCAGATTTCTGATTTTAACTTATGACCAAGGTTTTCCTGCACCAGAAATGATATTCTAAAAGAGATCTTAACATCAGTTACAGAATGTTAAAAAAAAACAAAAACAAAAACAAAAAATAACCCACCAGCCTCCTTATTGGATGCAAAAAAAAAAAAAAAAAAAACTAAGCACAAAATGGCAGTCATGCCATTATATTCCATGACATCTCTTTATAAAAGTTGCTGATCTCAGAAAGCTAAGATTTACTAATCATCCAAAAAAACTTCACTTAACACTAAATACAGAAGCTAAAAAAAAATAGCTCTAAATGAAAAATCTAGGTTTTCCCCTTAATTTTCTTGTAAATTCCCTTTTCCTATTTCTTGCCTATCACTGGGCATGCATAATAGGTCTCCACATCTTGTCACCTTTTCAAAACAATTCTTCGTTACTTATGCCCCGTTAAGACTTTCTATATGTAAAATCCTTAAACTCAAAGTAAAAGCAGCAGTGGCTCCCAGTGGCCAATTCATGATAGGTATATTTTTCCTATCACAGCTCTTGTATTTTCATAAATGGTTCCTAAATTACAAAACCTCACAGAAGTTATTATATTAGAAAAAAAAAAAAAGTTGGCCAGGCACGGTGGTTCACATCTGTAATCCCAGCACTTTGGGAGGCCAAGGAGGGCGGATCACCTGAGGTCAAGAGTTTGAGAACAGCCTGACCAACATAGAGAAACCCTATCTCTACTAAAAATACAAAATAATTAGCCAGGCATGGCGGCACATGCCTGTAATCCCAGCTACTCGGGAGGCTGAGGCAGGAGAATCGCTTGAACCTGGGAGGTGGAGGCTACAGTAAGCCAAGATCACGCCATTGCACTCCAGCCTGGGCAACAAGAGTGAACCTCCATCTAAAAAAAAAAAAAAAAAAACCATAAGTTAACAAAATAATATTTATTAACTTTAATCCTATGCTTTTCCACTTCACAGCAATAAGAAAATTAAAACGTTTACTTTTCAGTCAACTAAGAGACCCACTAAAACGTAAAACATTACTTAACATTATGTGTTTTTCCATTTCTTTTTAATTTTTTTTGAGAAAAGTTCTCACTGTCACCCAGGCTGCAGTGCAGTGGTGCAATCATAGCTCCCTGCAGCCTTAAACTCCCTGGCTCAAGCAGTCCTCCCATCTTGACCTCCCATAGTGCTGGAATTATAGGCATGTGACACCAAGCCACACCCAGCCCTGTTTTTAGATTTTCAGTGTCCCTGGGATCACTTACTGACTCAATTACTTATTTTTCTGGAAACAAGGTCTCACTCCGTCACCCAGGTTGGAATGCAATGGTGTGATTATTGCTCACTGCAGCCTCAACTTCCCAGGCTCAAGTGATCCTCCTACCCCAGCCTCTGAGTAGCTGGGACAACAGGTATGTGCCACCATGCCAGGCTAATTTTTTAATTTTTTTGTGGAGACAGGCATCTCACTATGTAAGCCAGGCTGGTCTCAAACTCGTGGCCTCAAGTGATCCATCTACCTCAGTCTCCCAAAGTGCTGGGATTACAGGCGTGAGCCAGTGGCACCTGGCATGACTCAAATAACTGAATAGTCACTATCTCTGTGTATAACAAAGCATCATCATCCACCTATTTGTTACAGTTTGATCAGCTTAAAGCTGTTAAAAACTTAACATTCAACCTCAGTTATGTAGCTGAAAAGACTAGGGTGACATTCTAGATGTTTCACTATGACATACATGATAGACTTCTAACAAGGCCTCCAAGATTTGTTTTTTTGTTGGTTTTTTTGTTTGTTTTTTTTTTTTGTCGAGACAAAGTCTCACTCTGTCACCTAGACTGGAGTACAGTGGCTTGATCTCAGCTCACTCCAACCTCTGCCTCCCAAGTTCAAGTGATCCTCCCACCTCAGCCTCCCAAGTAGCTAGGATTACAAGAATGTACCATCATGCCTGGCTTATTTTTATATTTTTACTAGAGACAGGGTTTCCCCATGTTGGCCAGGCTAGTCTCAAACTCCTGGCCTCAAGTGATCTGCCCTCCTTGGCCTCCTAAAATGCTGGGATTACTGGTGTGAGGCACTGCACCCGGCCTAAAGAGGCCTCCAAGATACCTGTCCTCTGGTTTGACTGGTTGGTAATCCAATCAACCACCAACTGCCGATTAACTTAGGGTTACTACTCAGCTGACTTTAGAATAAGTAACTATCTTAGATTATCCTCATAGGCCTGATATAATCAAATGAGCCCTTAGCAGCAGCAGAAGGCAGAAAAGTAAAGTTAGAGAGATGGAAGTGTAACAAAGGAGTTGATCTGCCATTGCTATATCTGAAGATGGAAGATGGAGAGCCATGAGTCAAGGAGTGAGGGCAGCCTCTAGAAGTTAGTTAAGAACCTTAAGGTAACAGCCAGCAAGGAAAGAGGGACCTTATTCATTCCTATAACCACATGAAACTAAATTTTGCCAACAATTTGAAGGAGCTTGGAAGCAGATTCATACCCAGGGCCTCCAGAGAGAAACACAGAACTGTTGACACTTAGCTCTAAGCAAAGGCCCAGATATCTGATCTCTAGAAAACAGAAGACAATACATGTGTTGTTTTAAACCACTAAGTTTGTGGTAATTTGTTATGGCAACTACAGAAACAATACAGATTCTGGTACCACAAGTCAGGTACTGCTGTTAACACACAGCTAAAAATGTGGAAATGGCTTTAGAAATCAGGCAGTGGGTAGCGGCTGGAAGAATTCTGAGCATCGTGATAGAAAATGCCTAAGGCCTTGAATAACCTTTTACTAGAAATTTAGACTTTAAAGACACTGCCAATGAGTGCTCACAGACTGCTTGAAGAAATTCAGACTTGGAGGATTCAAAGAATATAATCCGTATTGGGTGTTCCTTTTGTTATCCATTCTGACAACACAGACCTTACCCAGAGTATTTAATACATCTTATGTAATTATTAATTTGGTTAGGTTTTTTCTTTTTTTTTCTTTTAAATATTTTTATTAATTTACTTTTTTTAGAGATAGGGTCTTGTTCTGTCACCCAGGCTAGAGTGCAGTGACAACAATCAGCTCACTGCAGCCTTGAATTCCTGAGTTCAAGCAATCCTCCTGCCTCAGCCTTCCGAGTAGCTGCACATTCCACTATGTCTGGCCTGATTTGCTTAGATTTAAATCTACTGTCTTGCTATTGTTTCTTATGTTCCATCTTTCCCTGTTATTGTATTCTTTTCCTTCTTGTCGGCCTTCTTTTTATGTCACTATCATCTCTCCCTAGATTGCTACAAGTAGCCTCTTGTCTCCTTGCTTCTAGGCTAATTTTTACTCCCAAATTAGTTGAACCCAGCAACAGTCTCATCCTTATTGTCTTCCACATTTTCTGGGTAAATATCAATTATGACAATAACCTATAAGCCCTGTAATATGTTTGTCCCCATTACCTCTCCTCTCTGACCTCATTTTCTACTATTCTCCCGCTCACTTATTCCCTTTCAGTCACACTCACCTCTTATTCTTCCTTGAACACGCCAGACATACTCCTACCTCAGGACCTTTGTGATTGCTGTTCCCCCAGTCTGGAATACTATTCCCTGCCTCTCTCACTTACAGGCTTTTCAGTAAATTTTACTTGTCTCCTAACTGTTAGTGGTAGGTAGAATAATTTGGGTAGGTCCCCAAACGATGCCCACAACCTAATCCCTGGAGCCCGTAGGGGAATTAAGGTTGCAGGTAGAATTAAGGCTGCTAATCAATGACCTTAACATACAAATATTATCCTAGATTATCTAAAAGGGTCCAATGTATTCACAAGCATCTTTAAAACAGAGAGGGAGATGTGACTACAGAAGAATGATCAAAGAGTTACAAAGTTGGTTACTGTGAAGATGGAGGAAGAGAACAAGCCAAGAAATGTAAGCAGCCTCTAGAAATGGAAAAGGAAAGAAAACAGATTATTGCCTAGAGCCTCTATAAATGAACACAGCCCTACCAATGCCTAGATTTTAGCCTACCAAGACCCATTTCAAACTTCTGACCTCCAGAAATGTAAGATAATGAATTTTGTATTGTTTAAGCCACTTTTATGTTTGTGGTAGTTATGGTAGCAGTGGAAAACCAATACATTACCCCATTTAAAACTCTAAGTCTTCACTCCCTTTTCCCCTTTGCTGCTTAATTTTTTCCTCCACAAAATGCAATACCTTCTAACAAACTTTATAATTTACTTGTTTTGATTATAAATGTAAATTCTGCAAATCAACGTAAGTTCCATAAAAGCAGGGATTATCTATTTTGTTTGCTATTTCCCAGAGTACATAGATGCTCAAATATTTGTTGAATGAACATTCAGTGGAATTATACACATCTGACTACATATGAAGAACTGTGCTAAGGATAATGATGATGATTTTAAAGCCATTAATCTTAAAGAAAAACTAGGTATATAATCAGTAGCATTCAATGGCATTTAGATTTAGAACTATGCATTAACATCTCTCAAAACACCTTCATTGGCCAGGCGCGGTGGCCAATGAAGGTCTGTAATCCCAGCACTTTGGGAGGCCAAGGCGGGTGGATCACGAGGTCAAGAGATCGAGACCATCCTGGTCAACATGGTGAAACCCCGTCTCTACTAAAAATACAAAACATTAGCTGGGCATGGTGGCGCGTGCCTGTAATCCCAGCTACTGAGGAGGTTGAGGCAGGAGAATTGCCTGAACCCAGGAGGCGGAGGTTGCAGTGAGCCGAGATCGCGCCATTGCACTCCAGCCTGGGTAACAAGAGTGAAACTCCGTCTCAAAAAAAAAAAACCTTCATTATTCAGTGTCTTCACTATTCCTTTTCATCCCAATTGCAACAACTTTTTTATTGACAAGTTGTAATAACTAAGGAAACACTTCAAACATCGATTAAGTATATAATTAAAAAAAAAAACCATTCTGAATATTCACCCCATCATACATTTAGGGTGATCTGATTCAGAAAAGAATCAATACACAAAGTTTTTCCTTCCTGAAAGTAGTTATGGAGATTTCAGAAAATCTCCAAGTTTGAAATATAAAATAAAAAATTTTGGCAACTACCAACAAACGTCTTACATTATTTTCATTCCAACAGAGAAGTCTTTGGTGTTAGACAGAGTGGTTAAGTCTGTGATCACACCACTGCACTCCAGCCTGGGTAACAGAGCCAGACCCTGTCTCAAAAAAAAAAAAAAAACATCACTTACCTGTTCCAGGAGTAGATGTAACTCCAACCAGAGGACTCTGCATTACTGAAATGTTTGGCTACACAAAAACAGAAGAAAGTGTTATGGTAAAAAGGCAAAACATAAATACAGTAAGTGTTAAAAGCCTTCATTCAATGGATAACTGAATTTTTATCAGGTGCTGGAGGTGCCTCTAATTACCTCACAGTACGAAGGCACTCTTTTTTTCCATGTAACAGTATCAACCTAAAATATACTAGACCGCTTAGTATTTGTTTAAAATAAGAAAAGTCATATGTTTAAAAAAAAAAGGACATTATCTTCTATAAAAGGTGACACAGTAACTGTTTGTTTTAGTTTCTAATGTACAATAAGTAAAATAAAGAGACAGTGGTAGTTTTTAAAATGACCCAAGTTCACACAGAAAAACAGAAGGGTGACAGAATTTGATTTTCAAAGATGCTTAGAAACCATGAAATACGATATATTCAAATCAGTCTAAACAATAAAAGACAGCATATCCCTACCACTACCAGTAGAAAGTTCCAAAACTGGTAAATTATCCATTTTAGTCCCTTAAAAATATAAGAAAATTAAGGATTAAAACAGTGAAAAAATCCTTCTAAAACAAAGACAACTTCTAATCAATAAATGAGAACAGACTCTCTCTAGAACTCAATTTTTTAAAACAGATTCTAATCAAACTAAGGAAATCTAAAATAGCTTCATCTAGCAACCAGAACTAAATGCTGCGAGAATGTTAGGAGAGATATAAAATTTATTATTCAATTATTAATGCCAATTCTTTCATGATTAGGAAAAGGTTGAGCAAAGTCCAGGGGGCATAACTAATTTGGGCTCTAATCCAGCAATAATATTCTTACCAACTTTCAAATCAAAAACATTCTCTATAAATTATGACCCAGGAGTATTTCAAACATTTTGAATGTAGCAATAACTGTAAGCCTTTATCTGTATCATTGGAGAAGTAATGAAATCTTGCACAAATTTAGGAGCCAGTGGCTCTCATAATTTTTTAATTTTTATAATTTTATTTATTTTTGAGACAGAGTCTCACTCTGTCACCCAGTCTGAGTGCAGTAACATGATCACAGCTCACTGCAGCCTCAGCTTCCCAGGCTCAAGGAATCATTCCACCTCAGCCTTCTGAGTAGCTGGGACTACACATCACCACACCCAGTCAGGTTTGGCTTTTGTTGTTGTTGTTGTTTTGTATTTTTAGTAGAGACAGAGTTTCGCCATGTAGCCCAGGCTGATCTCAACCTCATGGGCTCAAGTGATCTGCCCAAGTTCACACCTGTAATCCCAGCACTTTGCAAGGCCAAGGGAGGTGGATTACTTGAGCTCAGGAGTTCAAGACCAGCCTGGGCAACAGGACAAATCCCATCTCTACAAAAAAACACAAAAATTAGCCAGGCATGGCGGCACATGTCTGTAATACCAGCTACTAGGGAGCTGAGGTGGGAGGATCACTTGAGCCCAGGAGGTCAATGCTACAGTAGGGCATGAGCATGCCACTGCACTCCAGCCTGGGTGATAGAGCAAGACCCTGTTTCAAAAAATAATATCAAATAAAAATACATAAAAATCAAGCAATCGCCCACCTTGGCCTTCCAAATTACTGGGATTACAGGCATGCACCAACACGCCCAGCCCTCATACCAAACTAAACACAAGCTTTACTTATCAACCTTTAAAAGTCCATTCCAGACCAGGATATCTATCCATTAGAAACAACAAATACATGTAATTTTACATTTTCTAGTAGGCATATTTAAAAAGTACAAATGGGTGAAATTTAGTAATAGCTTATTTAGCCAAACGCATCCAAGACATTATCATTTCAATATGTAATCAGCATTTAAAAATTAATAAGAGGCCGGGTTCGGTGGCTCATGCCTGTAATCCCAGCCCTTTGGGAGGCCAAGGCGGGTGGATTACAGGTCAAGAGTTGGAAACCAGATTGGCCAAGATGGTGATTCCCCCCATTTCTACTAAAAACACAAAAATTAGCCAGGTGTGGTGGTAGGCGCCTGTAATCCCAGCTACTCAGGAGGCTGAAGCAGAGAACTGTTTGAACCCGAGAGGTGGAGGTTATAGTGAGCCGAGATCGTGCCACTGCACTCCAGCCTGGGTGACAGAGCAAGACTTTGTATCAAAAAATAAAAAATAAAAATAAATTAATAAGATACCTTACATTCTTTCTAAGTCTTCAAACTCTGGTGTGTATTTTATACTTAAAGTATATCTCAATTAAGACTAGCTATATTTCAAATATCAATAGCCACACTTAGCTAGTGGCTACTTTTGGACAGGAAGGCAGGTCTAGAAGTGTTGGAAAGAAACAGTAATCTGTTTAACACAGTGAATGAATTTTGCCTTACTTGACAAGTAAGCCTAGTATGCCAGACATGTCAAGCCTAAAAATATCACAAATCCACTGAAAAATCCTTTCTAATATTCTTCAACTCTCAAACAACCTTACTAAATACGATTTAGGGAAAGGCATAAAACATATATCTAAGGTAAAGAGCAGACATATCTTTATATTAAAAACTTATCAATTTAGCTGACAAACTTTGTTTACACATCCTACTAAGCACAATAGTAATAGGAAAGAACACTTGTGTCTGTGAAGCTACTAAATTTTCTACTTAAAAGAAAGTCGGCCAGGCATAGTGGCTCACACTTATTATCTAGCGTTTTGAGAGATCAAGGTAGAAGGATCACTTGAAGCCAGGAGAGCAAGACCTCATCTCTACAAAAAATAATACAATTAGCCGGGCATAGCAGCACATGCCTATATCCCAACTAATAGGACAGCTGAGGGAGGAGGATTGGTTGAACCTAGGAGTTCAGGCTGCAGAGTTATGACTGTACCACTGCACTCTAACCTGGGCAACAGAGCAGGACACTGCTGGGGACCCTAAAAAAAGAAGAATATAAAGAGAAGTCCATACTACTTCTCAGCTGACAAGTGTCCTACATCTAGATGAAACTCTAAATTTTCATTTGTTCTTTCACATAATTTTTAAATACTAAATATAAAACTTTATGACTTAAACTACATTCTACATGTATACTACGTAGATTGGAGGCATGGGCAGATGGATAAGGCATACCTATAAAAACCTGAGAATTACCTATGAGAGAAAACAATCGAGTTTTACACTGTTAAGCACAGTTCATGATCAACAGAATTTTTTTTTTTTTTTTTTTTTT